ATATGTTAATTTTTAGTTATGTGCTTACGGTAATCGCCGGTCTTATTCTACACACAGTGATTACGTGTCCGATTCTGTATTTCTTGATCACAAGAAAGAATCCGATGTTCATCGTACGGGGAATGATGCAGGCGATTGTTACCGCCTTCGGAACAGCTTCGGGGTAGGCAGTTACAGCAGTTATTTTAAAAAAAACTAAAGTCACTCCCGCTGCTTTTTTCAGTGGAGCTGCACTTCCAATGTCTATGCAATGTATGGAGGATAACTGTCACATAGATCGACGTATATCGCGTTTCGTGCTTCCTCTGGGATCTACGATCAACATGGTGCGTTGGAATGTTAAACTATTTCCGAATCTGTGCCATCAATCGATAACCATATTTAGGACGGTAACGCACTTTATGAAGCTGTTGCTGTAATCTTCATTGCCCAGCTAAATAATGTGGATTTGTCTTTTGCAGAAGTTCTTACTGTCAGGTAAGTCAAGTACTCCTTCTGAGAGACTTTTCCGATAGCATAGATACTCTTCCAGCGTCACCGCTACAGTAGCATCAATTGGGCTTGGTTCAGTGCCAGCTGGACTCGTCTCCATACTCCTGATTCTAAATACTGTTGGGTTGCCTATTAAAGACGTGTCGCTCCTGTTGACAGTTGACTGGCTACTGTGAGCACTTTAAATTCAGACTCTCATAAGTTCTGTTGTGGATCATTAGTTACTCAGAGATCGGGTACGGACCTCGATCAACGTTCTTGGCGATGGCTTTGCAGCAGGGGTGGTGGCTCATATATTGCAGGTGAGGTACTATTCATTCTATCTAAAGCATCGCCTATCGTTGCCTTGGCGATGGTGTCGTCTTTCTGGTTACGTCCGATATTGCCACCTTTTTTTAGAGCACCTCGCAACCACTTCCATCAGGCTTCGAACTCAATTACTCCTCTTACCAGACGATCTTTTTTCTTTCTCACTGCTGACCATACCTTCGCAGCTACTCCCCATCTGAGATGGACAGGGCCTGTCTACACAGTTGCTCTGAGGAATTCTTTGCCGAATCGGTCCATTTGCGTGCAGCCCCAGGCCATCCGAGCATCCTGTTCCGCTGATTGTGTTCCCTACCATGATTTTTGCCTATACCTTTTTTGCCTTTTGCCACCACTCGCTGCCACTGAGGATCGTTCGCCCTAACACTTTTCTGTGGACTTTTTCCTTGAGCCTCCTGGACCTTGACCTGGAGCTTTCACGGCTTTATCTGCGCTACCAACGGCAGCTAGGCTCAAGACTGACGATGACATAATGTATTTACCAAGTCCGACGAAAATCAAGCGAAGACGCAGCCACTTTTTGCGAATCTTATTTCAGAAACGTCTAGACGTGTCCGATGCCAGAAACGAATTCCGATCCGAGATCAAAGAAGAAATAGGTGACTTTTCAAGTCGCCATTCTGTGACCCTCAGAATCGATTACCATAATTAATATAATAATCTGCTTTCAGAGTTGCTCAAATCTGCCACAGCTAGTCGACGGCCGTCGTTTACGTGGTCTGAGCATTCGAAAGAGGTAAGTCGTGTCCGTTGACGGAACGGAGGAACGGACAGAGAACTATGCTGATGATATGGTTGAACGCATCCGGGTTACTTTGCATTGCTCATGATGGAACAGAGTAAAGAATGTCGTCGGCTCTCAAAGGGTTATGAGCGCCAACATTCATTTATATGTGTGTGGGCGGAGCCGCCTTGGGGGCGTTGCGGACTGACCCGAAGACGAAGAGATGAAAAGATAAGAAGAGGGAGTCGGAATTGCAAAAATAAGGAGCAGATTCTTTGAACCTTATGTTTCCAAAGACGAAGTGCTTGAACAGACTGAAAACTTCCACTCAACAATTACAAATCTTTACAGATCTACTTCAACGCGATCACGACGAATGCAAATTCACGGATTCAGTCACGAAGCGGTTCGATCGCCAATTTCAACCTTTCATGGAGAAACGCTCTAATTGACTCAGGCTACTCCCCACTGAATAAGGTTGAGGACGTTTAACGCTAGTTTTGATTGATCAACACAGGGCCCACATGATTCTGTGTATGTATATAGCCCCCTAGTGAAAGTAAAACTGCTACTGGTAACGCCATTGCTTTCCAGTCCCTTCACTGACTGTACTATTGCCCTACCTCAGTTCGCTATTCTGGGTTGTTTGTCGTTCAACCGAGCCCTCAAAGTCATCTGTTTACGTGAATGTTCTAAAAGCTTTAAAGTTGTTTGAGAAAATCTATACACCTAATAAATATTGTCAGCTTGTTATTGGAGCTCATTATGATTCCTAAAGAGACAGCTCACCATAATTCTGGGGGGACTAGTTTCAGACGAATAATGAAAGTGATAGTCCACATAAAAGTGCCAAAAAGGGGTGAAGAAAAGGGAAAATCTACGTATTTGGAGAAATGCAAGGCTCCAAAAAAGTAGCAAAATAGGGGTCGTACGAGAATATTGCAACAGTAACCGCATGGAAGGGGTATTCGGACGAGCTGTCCAAATGTGTGCATCATTGCGTACAGCTGACTACAGTAAGCTTCCTTCGTGCAATGTGTGGGTCCCAGTGCTAACTGTGCAACCTCTGCAGCGGCCATGTGACGCCGTGAAAGCTCGCCCTACCCGGTTGTGTGCGTCTGTCCGTGCACTATGTCGGTTTAGGGCCCTCACTACGCCCTATCTGAGCCTTTTTTTGGTCCGGCAGCGTCGCTTGTGCTGTCGTAGGGTGTCTCAGGCTACTCCTAAGGAGAATCTCAGTGAATGTTTTTGAAGTGAACCGTGCCTCTAATGAAAGTAATCGTCAAATTGTAAAAGATCGGCCACGCTTTCCTCTTTGTTACTGCTCTTTTTTAACAACGAAACGCTGGGAAACATTTGGAAGTGTCATCACTGGATTAACTTGTATAGGAGAGTTCGGGGCCGTCTACGGCCTGACTGGTTCATTAATAGGGTGATTCCAGATTCCCTAGCTATAGAAATAACGTTCGCGAAGCTCGAGTTTCTCATTAACTGCGATGTAATCTACTTGTAATCGTGCGCAGTTGTGGTGTGCCGTCTTCTTCTCCTATGCGGAATTTTCTCGCAGACGCGTGCTCATGCGTAACCATGAAATCAGTCAAGCGAAACACTTCGGCTCCAGGTTCGGGTGGACAAGCAAAAACAGTGTTGCAAACCACAAAATGAACAGTTACACACATAAGATCAAATTATCAGGAGCCATAGGAAAATAAAAGAGAAAATGAGAGATTTTCTTTTGTGGAAAACCCGTGCAATGAGCTTTCAGGTATGCGCCAGGGACTCATAGGACTTCATTAAACGTTACTAAGTCTCAAGCCTAGCAAGAACTATCCGACAGCCATAGATTTCCTCAAAAACCACTTCTTAAACATGATACTTTCCTGGCAAACATTACCCCACAGGAGATATGTTATGCCAGCTCAAGCGCGACCGTTGCCAACCATGAAACTGGTTTCATTAAGAAATCAGTTCTTTTGAGTAGTTCTTTCTGAATGTTCACACCACGACTGGGAAGGTTAAGGAGATAATTCGAAAAAAAGCCTTGAAAAGTGTGTAAACAAAGTTGCTGTAAAGCCAGAATAAGCAAAACTTCAGGATCAAGGCCGGGAAGAAAAGAATGAGGGCGGAGAAGCAAAGAAGCAACGCACGAAAGCCAAAAAAAAACAGGATGATATTAAAGAATAAGTGTTATGGGATAAAGGAAGAAAATGACACTCGTACAGAAAAAAATATCGAAGAAGATTGACTCCGTATGTCGAGCCTTTGAGATTTATAGTAATCGAATGTTTTCAAGCTCAAAAGTCATGCTTCTGGAAAGAATTCCAGGGTAGTTCAGTTTTTCTAGTTTTCTCCCTATAAGGGGAACAAAAATAGACAAATGCGAGTTCAGTTCTGCAAAGTCTATCTTGAAATTCCAAGAGTTGGATTTACCCAATTCTCATCAGTTCTAATGAAGGTATTTACTCCCACGCGACACTAAAACAAAAATTCGGTCGCGACATGGACACCGGCCGACTGCAAAAAGATTTTTCAAAATATCGCAGTCCGCGGGTAGGTGCAGAAGTGAAATTGTAAGCGAACTTTCGAGAGACCTTTTGGAAAAGATGTGGATTAGGGAAGGAGTAAAACGTCGACAAAGGGTTCATGCGCTGCCACCTAACATATCACTTGAGAGAGAACGGCCCGGATAGATGTTCAGTTCTGCTCATGAAGACTTTGATTTTGAAATTAATAAGGAATTGTGGAAATAGCTATTCCTGTAAACAACTGATCAATGCCCTGAAAGACTCCTAGTGGACAACATTACTTTGTAAGCTCGGAACGTCATTTAGAAACAACATTGCCCTAGAAAATTAAGTCAGAGTAGAAAAAGAGAAAAGAGGGTACTTTGCGTAACAAGGTGAGTCACAGGATAAAGATCCTATCGAAGAAGTGGGTGGAAGTGAAGCTGAATGCAGCATGGCTACATTCCGCCTACTTTTTGATGACTACTAGTTCAGGGACCCAGTAGTGATCCAGCGAAACTAGCATAGAGTGCAATAATGACAAAGAAAGCCCAGGATTATTTGCCATCCCATTCACCGGGCTGTCGTTTTCAATATTTTTACATTTTCACTTCCTTTCTTTTCATTTTTGCTTGTCTTTCTGAATGCATACACATATATTTATGTATTCCTATGCAGAACCGTGTTTATGAAGTTTACTACGGCGACCGCTGTCCATGTTTATCAGCGAAGACAATAGTACAATGGCCAAACCACACTATTGTCTAAGCGGACGCTGATTGACAACAACTATAAAAACCATTCACAGCGTATTCAATGGCTATTTCTCTCTTGAACTGCATCTTCTAGGGAGTCGTCGTTGTTTTTCTTTCTCCTACAAGCAACCTTTGGACTTTTGTTGTTTGTTGCAAGCCGGAAACATACCCGAATGTCGAGACTTCATCTCTCCGTTGTAATATCATGGTTTTGTCCCAAATATTCTCATCGTCAAAAATGTTTCTAATGGAATTAAGTGCGGTTGTGGATACGCCACACAGTTGTTTTCCTTTGCTAACACCAGAATGAGTTCAGTTCACCCCAATAAACGACATCCGACGAACGCGACCTCGTGAAGAGCATTCTAACCAGGATTAAATGAAAGAGCAATGGACAACCGAGGAGGAATAAACTATTATCCAAACTTCATCCCTCTGTTTTACTTCAATTCGTCCTCCTTTTCCTTCATCGAAACATTCGAGTCAAAGGTGGATAATGGCAAGTACATAGCCGTCCTTTTTCTTTGGATGAGTGCCATCCCATCTCTCTTTCCCCCACGACGATGCTGAAAAAATACTCTTTCTTAGCACAACCAGTCTAGCAACTTAAAAAAGCCTCGCAGTTAGGGGAAATCGAACGTCTTCCACTTTTCATCCTCTTCTACTCGAAAGAACCAAGCAGTGGGAACAGCATTACAGCTGTTCCATGTCTTACGCAGTGGAGTATGGAGTATTTCTTTTTTGAGCTCACTTTCAAACGAATCTTCATTTTTCAAACTCGAAAATATTGCAGTGTCTGGTTTACGATTCACCCAATCGCTTTGGATAGAAATTCAGTCCTAATTCCTATACGAGCACCTATTCTT